TTAAAAAAAAGAATAAAATGGTTCTCTTGCTTCATAAAAAAAATAAAGACAAAAGTCACAGTCAAAAATAGAAAAAAGTCACTCTCCCTCCCCCTGCCCACTCCTATCCTCTTGTCCACTCTTTTTTACCCCCCTTAAATATAGGTGTTTTTAAAAAAATCTATAGACACAGTCCAATCAGACCCGTATGCCCCCCTCCTCCCAATAACAAACTGAGCAGCGTGCCTGACACAGCACAAGCCTCTGTCACTGAAGCCAGGAGGCAGGGCACAGCTCCTGCCGGGAAGAGCACTGAGGTCAATGTGGGAACCCAGTGGTGGGCTCCCTTCTAGTTTAGGGTCAAAGGATCCGGATGCAGCATAGAGGTGAAGGTTCTTGATTCAGCAGCCAGGACCTAGAATCCAGTGGTTTCATGGTGGAAGATGGCCCATTCAGGCTTCAGCGGTGGGGCTTCCCTGGGCAGTGGGGCTGGGTCGAACAGGGCCTAGCCCAGAAAAAGATCTAGATCAAGTCCTTTGTCTCTTCAGGAAGAATGAAGAGCCAAGTGGTTCCACCACTTCATGCCTGGCCAAAGTGTGTGTGTGTGTGTGAGGTGGTGGTGGACAGGCTGGCGGGAGGCGGTGGGGGGTGGGGGGCCTTTTAGCTCCTTCTCACTTGCAGCCCCTGGTGTCTCTGAAAGCAGACTGTAGACCCCTGAGCTGGACCCTCAAGGGCGCGCTGCCCCAGAGGCCTCTCACAATGGCCTTTGGCCAGGTACTCAAGCCCAGACTCTGGGCTGCAGCCCAGCCCTGTCACCTGCCTCACCTTCCATGCCTCAGCCTTCCTGGTCTGCAGGGAGCAAGGGTGGGTGCAAGGGGAGGGGCACACCCTCACGGGCAGACCCCTCTGCTCCCTCTCCTGCAGTTCTGGGAAGTCATCAGTGATGAACATGGCATCGACCCCAGTGGCAACTACGTGGGGGACTCGGACCTGCAGCTGGAGCGGATCAGTGTCTACTACAACGAGGCCTCCTGTGAGCGCCCACCCCCTCTGACCTCTGACTAATGATGGCCCTCATCCTCCTTCCCTGGGCGGGGTGGGGAGGGAAGAGGAGGAGTAAGCTTCCCAGTGGTTGGGTCAGAGGCCAGCAGTGGAAACTGAGAGGTGATCATAGTTGGGGAGCAGGCAGGTCACAGGTCAGAGGAGACCAAAGGGACTGGGGGAATCTGGACAGTTGGGTGGTATGGTCAGTTGGGGAGGGCTGTGGGGACCAAGCAGGGTTGTCCAGGGCTCTCAGGGAGAGTTGGTGACTGTGCAGAGCCTGCTTCCTGGGCCACCCAACTGACCCTGTCTGGGGTGGCAACCATGACTCCACTGTCATGGAGCCCTGGGCCAAGGGCCAGAGCAGAGGCCAATGGAGGATGGCCCTCTGGAAATCTAATTCCCCACCCCCATCCCCAGCTCACAAGTATGTGCCCCGGGCCATCCTGGTGGACCTGGAACCTGGCACCATGGACAGCGTTCGGTCGGGCGCCTTTGGGCACCTCTTCAGACCTGACAACTTCATCTTTGGTAAGTCCTCCTGCCCTGCTCCTTTCTGAGTACACCCAGTTGTGGGGTGAAGGGCCAGGGCCAGGCATCAGCGAGGCCTCCATCCGGGTCTTCAGGGCACGCCAGGATTCTGGGATTCCCCACAGTGATAGGATCCACTGAGGTAACACAGGCTGAAGTGCTTCCAGCAACATGGAGAGCTGGCCCAGGAAGCGAGGACTATGCACCTGAGCAGAGAAGACAGGGCCTGTCTTCACTGGGGTGCTCGCTTGCCTCCCGGCCAGCCCTCCAGCTGGACTCTGGACACTTGTGCCTGACAAACTCACACCCTGATCCAAGCTAGTGGCAAGCATGTGGGTTGTGACTATGCTTCTGAGGGGCTGGCTGGTGGGGGTAGATGCGGGCGGTGGGAGGTTAGCAATGAACACAGGTGACTTGCCCAACACCCCTCTCAAGGTTGTTGGGGCCAGCACTCTGGTTCCTGGTCCCTGTCCTGTCCATAATGGGTGGCCAGCAGGTTGGGTGTGGTCCCAGCATTGCGTCCTGTTGGGCTTGTGGTGACAGGACAGGGCTGTGTTGCTGGGCCACGGATGGGGAGCAGAGGCCCTGAGCCCCTACAATGGCGGCTATAGCTCTGGTCTTAGATCCCAAACTCGGGTCTGTCTCCTCCTTTTCTGCCCACCCCTGCAGGCCAGAGTGGAGCGGGCAACAACTGGGCCAAGGGGCACTACACAGAGGGCGCCGAGCTGGTCGACTCAGTGCTGGACGTGGTCAGGAAGGAGTGTGAGAACTGCGACTGCCTACAGGGCTTCCAGCTGACCCACTCGCTGGGTGGGGGCACAGGCTCCGGCATGGGCACACTGCTCATCAGCAAGGTACGTGAGGAGTACCCCGACCGCATCATGAACACCTTCAGCGTGGTGCCCTCGCCCAAGGTCTCGGACACAGTGGTGGAGCCCTACAACGCCACGCTGTCCATCCACCAGCTGGTGGAGAACACGGATGAGACCTACTGCATCGACAACGAGGCCCTCTACGACATCTGCTTCCGCACCCTCAAGCTGGCCACGCCCACTTACGGGGACCTCAACCATCTGGTGTCAGCCACCATGAGCGGTGTCACCACATCCCTCCGCTTCCCTGGGCAGCTCAACGCTGACCTGCGCAAGCTGGCTGTCAACATGGTGCCTTTCCCGCGCCTGCACTTCTTCATGCCGGGCTTCGCGCCGCTCACTGCCCGGGGCAGCCAGCAGTACCGCGCCCTGACCGTGCCCGAGCTCACCCAGCAGATGTTCGATGCCAAGAACATGATGGCCGCCTGCGACCCGCGCCATGGCCGCTACCTGACCGTGGCCACTGTCTTCCGGGGCCGCATGTCCATGAAGGAGGTGGACGAGCAGATGCTGGCCATCCAGAGCAAGAATAGCAGCTACTTCGTGGAGTGGATTCCCAACAACGTCAAGGTGGCCGTGTGCGACATCCCGCCCCGTGGCCTCAAGATGTCCTCCACCTTCATCGGCAACAGCACGGCCATCCAGGAGCTGTTCAAGCGCATCTCAGAGCAATTCACCGCCATGTTCCGGCGCAAGGCCTTCCTGCACTGGTACACGGGCGAGGGCATGGACGAGATGGAGTTCACCGAGGCCGAGAGTAACATGAATGACCTGGTGTCCGAGTACCAGCAGTACCAGGATGCCACGGCTGAGGAGGAGGGCGAGATGTATGAGGATGACGATGAGGAGTCCGAGGCCCAGGGCCCCAAGTAAAAGCCCTCAACCCTGGGGGTGGGGCGGGGGGAGGGGGCAGCAGCATCTTTCCTCAGGGTCTCAGTCCCCAGAGCAGCCCTCAGCTCTGTCCCCCCACCCTAGCTGCCAGTGCTTTGCTTGGGGTCCCTGAGTTATTGTCACCTAGTGTTCATGTCACCCATACCCCACGTCCCCTAGCTCTGGTCCTCTGACCTCCATATCCATGTGGCTCCAGCGTCTGTTTAACTGAGGCTGCAGGCTTGCCCTCTGTGTGTCGTGGTTTTGTTTTTTACTGATGTGTGTTTATTTTGGTGTTATTTTGATTTGGATATTTAATAAATGTATTGCTGTCAGATACCCCTGCTTGCTGTTGGAGATTTCTTTTTGTTTGGGGACGAGGGGCTGTCCGGGAAGCCCAGGCAGGAGCAGGCGAAGGGACTACATCTCCCAGGCCGGCGCTCTGAGCCGGCAGGGGCTCCTAGAAGAGGTGCCTGTGGTAGGCAGGCAGGGCCACCGCCCCAGTGCACACTTAGAATCATGTTGTGCAGTGGCCTCTGGGGAGCCTTGAGGTTAGCCCTCCACTCCCTTACCTCCCGCTGGGGGGGCCAACAAGAACATCCCCTCTAGAGCTCCTTGGCTGGTACACACGTGGGGACATGAAGGCAGAGGCTGACATCAGGCCCAAAGCCCTGACTGGGGAGCATTGAATATGCCCTGTAGCAGTAGGTGTGCGTCCTGGCCAGTGAGAGAGCAGCCTTGGGACCAGGTGTGGGTTTGTGGTGTGTTACCAATAGACCCCACCTGGCCCCCACTCCTGCAGGGAGAAACCCTGGTAGCCACCAGGACCATTCCAAGCTGGATTCATCACTACTAGGCCCCTCTACCCACCCTCTGGCCCCTGCCCCCACTCAGAAAGAGCAAGGCAGAGGAGATGGCTGGCCTCAGCTTGCCCTTGAAGCGGCCAGGCTCTGGCATTCCTGCCTGTGTGGAATCCTGAGGTCTGTCCAGCTCCAGGCTTGTGAGCAGAGCCCAACCCAGCCCCCAGATGGCTCGGAGCAGGGGACAAGCCATGCCTGCAGGGGCTTCTCAGTGCCCCACCCCCTGGGTCTTATAGAGGTCATTAGAATAGGCCCTGGGCGTGGGCTGCACACCAGCACTGGAAGCTCAGGGGGTCCATGCTGGGGTTCAGGGCCTGCTGGCAGTAGACAGCGCCCTTCCAAGGGGAAGCTAGCCTGCGGTCCACTGAGGTGGACGCCATTCAGCGGGTGCTGCGCCTTCTCAACTGCCACCTTGGCTGGAGACGAAGAGCGCTGGCCTCTCCTACATCTTGGGGGTGGTGGTGGAGGGGAGGGGCAGAGCTGGGCAGTGGGAGTGGGTAAGGAGGGATCTCCTTACTTTACAAAGAAAAAGGAAAGCTGCCTCCAGGTGACCTTCAGCGAGAAGCACGTGTATCTGAGACATCCAATCGCGCTGACCAAGTGGGGAGGCTCAGGCCACAGTTCGGTCCCAGCCCCAAATTGACAACATCCAGGCATCCCGCTTACACTCCCCAGAGGGCTTCTGGTTGGTCAGGCGCCATTCGTGTGGAGGACCCTATTGGCCAGCGTTTCAGGCCCGGTTATTTCATTGGCTGTTCCGCCCCTAGGCCCCGCCCCAATTGTCCTAATATATTGGTTCCCCTCCACTGCCTCCGGACAGACCAGCCCACTTATCTGGAAGGTGGCAGTCCACAAGCCCTACCCGCTACCCCAAGAGGTGGGGCTAATGGATGAGGAAACCGAGACACAATGCATGCGCAGTCTGCAGGGCCTCGCTGGGATGGAGGGGCTCGGCATGAGGCCTGCCCTGCCTGTCCTCTCAGACAGGCATCCTGCGACCTCCTCCTGTTGGAGGCCGAAGCTCCGCTGTAAAGAATAACATACCTTGCATTTGGATTTCACTGGGAAGGAGAGATTTCGTTGCAAAGGACGTGCTTGGGTAATACCAGATATGTGTGCCAGGCTGACGGACACACCAGCCAGTCGCTCAGAGGAAGTTTACGGTCTGTGCGTGGAGGGGGATGCTGCTGCTGTGGAGTGAGGTCTCAGGGCAGTGGCTCTCACTACCCTTCCCTGGGGAGCAGAGTGGATACAGCTGTGGAGACAGGTGTGTAGATCCACCTGAAGCCCCTGGGAAGGAGTAGGTCAGGTTGGTGGACAGCCAGGCCTTTGTGCACAGAGGAGTAGGGGAGGAAAAGGACCAGAGGAGTGGACTGGCCACCTCGCACTGGGGTCACCTCCCTCTAGGTCTGAAAGCAATCAGAGACAGAGCCTGGATGCTGGCAGGCCTTGGGGGCTGCCTGAAGAGCCCTGAGTCTCCCGATGTAGGAGCCACAATCCAGACTTGAGGGAGTGTTTGGTTATAGCGGAGACCCAGGTCCCACCTGAGAGGTCCCCAGTGAATGGACCCTGGTGTCATGGCCCATTGGTCCAAGGCACAACCAGTTGGGCCAGTTTCAGGCAATCAGAGCCAAGGATGCTAGTGGGCCCCGCATCTGAGCTGCAGCCTCGTATTCACCTTGGTGTGCTCTTAGAACCTCCTGTGAGTGAGAGACCCACTCTGTGAAGATGCTGCCTGGGATGGGGTGGATGTGAAGGCGTAGGGGTGGGAGCCTGCATCTTCTAGTTCATGAACCACTGGGAAGCAGTCAGCGTCAGCCCCGAAATCCCACTCTCTGCTCCTCCACTTACCAGCGGTCACCTTGTTGGGCCTCAGTTTTCTCATCTATAAAATGCGGTGTCAGCCGTGCTTCTGGCTGACAGCTGAGCCGACCACACGGGGCTCAGCAGGTGGAAGCTAAGGCCTTTTCTCACAACCACTGTTCTTTAAAAAAAAATCAACCAAAACACCACCTGACCACAGAACATCGGGGAATGCACCCCCTCCCCTGGATCAGAGGGGAGGAGTGTGGTCCCAGCTCTGGGGCCTGGGGAAACCGACCTGCCGAGAGCGTGTCATGAGCCTCCAGGCCGCTGGTGGCAGCAGCGGGCAGCGGGCTGTATACAAAGTAGCGAGGGCGGCGGCGGGTTACAATGTAGCGAAGGCAAGGCGGCGGCGGGCTGGTGAGCTGGGCAGGGGAAAGGAGCCGGGCGGGGGGTGGGGGGCTTGTTTGTGGGGGCTCATACGGCCCGCTGCGTGGGGTCCGGGACTGCTCATCTTCTGAGACTGACCCCGAGGGGTCAATGACCGGCCTGCGGCAGGATTCAGACCCCTGGCCGCCTGGGTCGACTACCTTCAGCCGCTCACTAGGGCGCAGAGGGGAACGGGTGTGGAGGGAGTGGACGACCGCAGCTACTTTCATAGCCCCTTTAGAGCAGAGCTTAGCACCTGGACATCTCTCTTCCTCGCCCCAGCCCAGGTGACACTGTCTCCTCCTCTGCGCTGTCAATAGGGGCTGTCACTGGGATCTGTAAGGGCTGTAAGCCCTGGGCCTTGCCCCCTCAGGTGGTCGCTGGTCTACTCCGACCTCAGTTTACGGGACTGTGGAAGGGGTAGTCTGTAGAGCATGTGAAGGGAGACAGGAGGCTGCCCGGAGCAGATGTTTGTTGTTTTTGTGGGTGAGGGTGGCAGGAGGGCCAGTTAAGGCCAGCTAGGCCTTGCCTCAGATGGTGACCACTCTGTAGTCTCGTCCTTCTGAGATGATAAACAGTCCTTAAAGGAACAGTGACCCTGGCCCCTTATCTCCTTGACCTCCAGCCAAAGGCTTCATTCCAGGTCTGAGCAGAAAGGACAGACCTTCCAAACGGCCCCCCGCCCCCTCCTTTTCTGGGTTCTCCCAGCAGCAGCTGTGGAAACAGCACCACCTCTTGGTGGCTTGGCAATGGGCCGGATGTATGTGGCCAACCAGGGCACCAGGGCCCATGCTCCGCTTCAGCCCTGGCTGGTCTCCAGAGGCACATGAGAGCTCTCTGGGGTGACCCTGGTGGGGAGGGGGAGACTCAGCTCAAAGTCAGCCCCACATCCCACATCCCTCCTCCCCTCTCCTGCCCTGGGCAGCCTGAAGCAGAGGTGAGAGAAACAGGCTCCTTGAAGTCCTGTGACTCCATTCCCTCATATTGTCCTGCATTGGCCTGGGTCTTGATCTTGTTCCCTTGTCACCTGGCAGGCCTGGCTGAGCTCCTCTGGCCAGGTGGGAAAACCCTGAGCAGTTTTCTGGGTCTCTCAGGGGTCACCCAGAAGGAGGCAGGGGAGGGGGGTGTGCTCTGGGCCAGTGGGGGATCAGACAGGTCATACTGTGCTAGTAACAAGACTCCACCTGGTATCGGTTCCCTGACACAGGAGACAGGGAGACAGCTCTGCACCCTGGTTTATGGTTGGGAAAGTGAGGTGGAGTGTTAGAACTGGAAGCCAGGATTCAAATTCAATAGTAACAATAGTGGTTACCAAGTAGTTAATAGGTGCTGGTCACTTGGTACTAACTAGTTGAATCTTCACAGTGACCCTGCATGTTGGGCCCTAGGGTTCCCCTCAGGAACCTCGTGGCACAGTGGTTAAACACTGGGCTGTCAAGCAAAAGGTCTGCGGTTTGAACCCCTAGTATGTGCCTGGGAGAGGAGACCTGGCTGGGTCTCCTCTGTCTGCAGGCTTGGAAAGGGCTGGGGCAGCGCTCCTCTGTCCTGCAGGCTCACCAGGATTGGGGACTAACACGACAGCACACAACAACACAACTTGTTATCTTCACTGAGACATGAGAGATTGGAAGCAGAAAGGAGCTGAGGTATTTGATGATGGCCACACAGCCAGGAAATGGCAGAGCTGAGGTTTGAACTGGATCCATCTAGCTCATCCTTACAGAGCCTTGGGGGCTTAGTGGTTACAGGCTGGGCTGTGACCCCCTTGATCGGCAGTTTGAAATGACCAGCTCCGCAGGAGATAGACTGGGTTTTCTGTACCTGTCTCAGAAACCCACAGGGGCTCGAAATGCTCTGAGTGTGGCCATGCGTGAGCTTGTCCTCAAGGAACCCTGCTGGCAGAGGGTGGTGTGTTGGGCTCTGGGATCCTCGGTTCAAAACTACCAGCTGTTCCACAGGAGAAATATGAGGCATGAAGAAAAGTGAGTGGGTGTTAGGACAGCGCTGCATCTCCTTTCCAGGTCTTCCATCGAACCTTCCAGCACCTGCCCATTTCAGGGAGCCAGAGGACATTAGGGGGCCACCTCTAGCCCAAACTCCTAGTGTGACCCAGTCACAGTCCTTTGAGGGTCAGCAAGGAGGGGAAACACTGAGCCTCCAGCTTGATGCAGCTTCCAACAGAAATGCAGCGAGTCCGAGAGGACTCAATGGCAGTGAGTTTGGTTTTGTGTGAAGGAGGTATGAACAAACAAACAAACAAACAAACAAACAAACAAACCAAAAACCTCACTGCCATTGATTCGATGCCAATGCATAGTACCCTCCAGGCAGGTTGACAGGGTAGAACTGCCCCTGGGAATTTGAGGTCTCCCTCTTCACAAGAGTAGAAAACCCTGTCTTTCTCCTGCAGAGCCACTGGTGTTTTGAAGTGCTCACTTTGCAGTTAGCAGCCCAATGGGTAACTATTATGCCACCGGGGCTCCTAAGGAGGTAGACAGAGTGGAACATCATCCCTGTGCATTCTGCGTGGCTTTGACACATCTCAGCCCTATCCCACCTCACTGAGAGGACCTTCTCAAGCAGGGTCTGTCACTGCCCTCGACTGAGCTGGAGCAGGGGGGGTGCGGGGCCCGCAGCTCTGGCCTTACTACTGCCAGTGATGGGCCAGGCACTGCCAGCTCCCGGGAAGGTCACACTGCAGCATCCCTGAGCCAGCCTCTCACTCTGCCTGGCCCACAGGTGGGATGCTATGGAATATGATGAGAAGCTGGCCCGGTTCCGGCAGGCCCACCTCAACCCCTTCAACAAGCAACTCCGGGCGCAGCAGCATGAACAGCGAGCTGGTGAGGAGACTCCCGACTTGGCTACTGAAGGTGGGTGCTGGGCTGGGGCCGGCTTCCTCCCACCCCAACTCATCCAGCCTGTGTGTGGCCCTGCTTGCTTCATGCAGAATGCTGCTGGCACAGCCTGTCCTCACAGGGGCTAGTGGCCTGGCTGGTCTGAAGTAAGGGGACTGAGGGGGGTGGGGGTGGGAGCTCACTGATGCCCGGCCTCCTTTCTCACTCTGGTCCTCTCTGCTGTCCCCTTCATGACCTCAGCTCTGTCCCCTAGAATTCAGAGGAGCTGCCTCTCTGGAGGGGAGCCCTCTCTGCCCCCTTCTCACTGGACTTCACTTCCTGGCTCTCCCTCTAATTCCCACGCTTCCCCGCTGCCGCCCCACCCCCACCCCACTCCCGGGAGCCCCAGAATGAGCCCACCTGAAGCCAGAAATGGTAGGTGTGGCCACAGGTACATGGGAGGGAGGGACAGGAACCCATGTGTGTGCCACCCCCCTCCCCCCAAGTGCCTTTTTGGATATTTCCTGCACCCAGGGCCCCACACACCCCACCTCCCTGGCCTTGACTCTGAGGAAAGGTAGGGATGCTGGGGGTGGGGTGGGGTGATGTCACTCAACTTTCTGCTCTCCCACCCCTGCCCTGCTGCCCACAGAGGCCCCTCCAGAGCTGTCCCCTGCAGAGCCGGAGTTCCACTGCACCGAGTGCGTGATGGACCTTGGCCTGGCCGAAGACCACTTCTCCCGGCCCGTGGTAAGGGGGTGGGGTCTGGGAGGGGGACAGGAGTGGTGAGCATCAAGTCACCAGGGGCTGCTCCCATTTACTTTCTTCCAAGCCACGATCCTTGAGCTTAGTGGCCCCTTCCCCAAGTCTGCCCCGGAGCCCAGGCCTCAAATCAGAGGCCATAACACCAGCGCTTCCAACCCCTCAAACTTCCGTGAGGAGGGCAGGTGGGACAGCTAGGCAGGACCTGGAGCTGTGCCTCTCCCTAAGCTCCAGGCATTCCGGAAGCAGATTCAGAGCACTTTGGGTCCTAGGGGCCCTGCAGACCTGCGTAGGGTAGAGGCAGAGGGAGAGAGAGGAGGACTGCCACCTCTTTTAGGGGCCAAAAGAGACACCAAATCTCAAATATGATTTGAGGAGAACATTTCTTAAGTCCTACACAGGACAAAAGTGAGACAGACACATGTCGCCTGGATGAGGGAGACCATGCACATGAGATCATAATGGTGCCCGAGGGTTTACCGAGACTCAGTGGCTTAAAGAGGACATGGGAGGACAAAGGGAACTGTCACAAAAGCAGGATTCATGGCACAGTTACAGGTCTGACCACAGAGGCAGGAATGAGACCGTGATTGGGACACACACAGCTTGCTAGATAGAAGAGCTTACAAGACTGGCTCATGGCCCCTGACCAAGGCAGTCAGAGCATGGTCCATGACTATGTGGCCCCAGTATCGTGCTCTCATCGAGAACCCCCCAGGCAAGCCCCTCCCTGGGTTGGCTAGGTGGGTGGTCATTGCTGTTGTTGTTGGAGGCTGCCCTGCCAGTTCCTGTGCCTTCCTCACAATTGTTCTTTAAACTTGAGCCCCTGTTGTAGCCGCTGTGTCAATCCACCTCATTGACGGTCTTCTTTTTCGCTGACCCTCAACTTGACCAAGCTCAGTGCCCCTTTCCAAGAAGTGGTCTCTCCTGATAACATGTCCAATGTACGTGAGACCAAGTCTCGCAATCTTTGCCTCGAAGGGGCACTCTGGCTGTACTTCTTCCAAGACAGATTTGTTTGTTCTTTTGGCAGTCCATGGTGTTCTCAAGATTCTTCACACCAGGATCATAATTCAAAAGCATAGCACTTCTTTGGTCTTCCTTATTCAATGTCCAACTTTCACATGCATTGGAGGTGGTTGGAAATACCATGGCTTGTATCAGAGACACCTCTGACCTCAAAGTAAGTGGTAGTAACCCACTGTGTTAGTCTGGGTACTTTAAAGAAACAAATCCACAGAAACTCATGTATAAGAGAGAGTTTTATATAAAGGTTAAATGGGCATCAAGAAAACATCCCAACCCAGTGCTGCCCAAGCCCACAAATCCAACATTAACCCATATGTCTGACACCAATCCACAAAGTCTTCCTCCATCTCACAAAACAGACACAATGATGCTGACTGCAGGAGGAAAGCTGAGTCAGTGAATGTGTAAGCATCTCAGCACTGGCAGGGGTCTCCACACGGGTGCTCCAGCACCCAGGGCTGCATCGGGGTAGGTCCATGCGGCTTCTCCTTGGGGATATCTTGGAGGAAGTCAGCCTCGCAAGCTGAAGCAGGGAACTGCTAAGGCAACTGCACCCTGGTCTGACCATCACAAAGCAAGAGACCTGAGAAGTAGAAAGGCAAGACTCACTGAGACATTTATCCCTCTGCCTTTCAATTAACCCCACATGTGTTTATTGGCCAGGTTGGCACAATAAACTAACTACTTCACCCACTTTCTAAGGCACTCTGCCACATTCTTCATGGTTCGGAGTCAGAAGGAAATTAGTGGAGACCTTATCCTCGTGGGGACTCGCCAAATGGATTGGGGGCTTTCACTGTTCTTTCATCTAAAAAATAAACTCACTGTGCCCGAATTGCGTCCGACTCAGAGGGACCCTATAGATCAGAGCAGAACTGCCCCTCAAGTTTCTAAGACTGTAAATCTTCATAGGCGTACAAATCCTCATCTTTTCCCTGTGAAGTGGCTGGTTTCAAACAGCTGACCTTGCAGTTAGCAGCCCAACTCTTATCCACTACCCCACCAGGGCTCTTTCTCTCTAGACTTCTGCAAATCTAGTGCTCAGAATTTGAGCTCTAATATGCACCTCCCACACACAGTCCCTTCTGACTGCTCCAGGCTGGGCTTCCCAGAAGGACTGATGAGAAATATGAAGGACACTGGTAATTAAAAATGTGAAAACCTCTGAGTTTCAGGCAAGCCATGTCCAACTTTGACTTGCGATAAGCAGCATCATAGCATTCCAGCTCCAAACACCCTGACATCCAGTCGATTCCGACTCACAGATCTGATAGGCCAGGGTAGAACTGCGTCTGTGGGTTTCTGAGACTCTAACTCTTTACAAGAGTAGAAAGCCTCATATTTCTCCCAAGGAGTGGTGGTGGTTTCCAACTGCCAACTTTGCCATTAGTGAGCCACCAGGGTTCCTCTGGTGATGGTAAAATGCCGGGTAAGTAATTGCACTGGAGAGCAAAGTACCCTGCAGAGCGGCTGATGGTGTCAGGGAGCTGGGCCTTCCCGGGGTGGCCTGCCTCTGCTTCATGTGCTCCAGAATACCCTGCCAGTTTGTTTCTTTGTTGTTGTTTTTTCAACCCTGCCAGTTTTTAAAGCATCTCCTTTCCTATGTCAAATAATTCTAGCCCTAAACTTTAAAAAATGCACCTTTTAACAAAAAGGTCACTTGGAATGCCTAGCCCTAAATTCACTTATTTTTCCTGTGGCCCTTCAGCTTGGCCTGTGCAGATGAGTTTCAGGTGCCTGCTTTGCATCTTTTTTTGTTGTTGTTTGTTTTTTTTTGCTTTGCATCTTGTAAGCAATATTTTCAGCCCTTTCTGTGGCTCAGACAGCATGGCTTCCTCCTTCCCATGCTGAGGCACTCCTGAGGGCAAGGGACAATGCTGCTCTCTAGCCTGGGAGCCTTCCTGGATCCTGGTCCTCTGAGCCATTGTGCAAGGTGGGGAGGTTGGGAGGGGGAGGTGGGGGGCTGGAGGAGGAATTCAGTCTCCTCCTAGGAAGGAAGTGAAAGACAGAAATGCAAAGCCTGAAAAGTAATACGATCCCCTGAAGAAGGAAGATGTCTTTTGAAAAACATCCTGCATTGGGTCTTCAGAGCCTGTGAATAGAGGCCGGCTTGGGGTTAGGAGTGAGTCCCATCCTGGCTGATACTGCATGAACCATGAGCCAGTCCCTCTCTCACCCCACCTCAGTGTCCTTATGTGGGACTAGGGACTGAGGTCCGTCCCCTCTTGGCCTAAGGGTCTGTGAGGATTGGTCTGAGTGTCTCTCTACCCTGCAGGGCCTGTTCCTGGCCTCGGACGTGCAGCAGCTGCGCCAGGCCATCGAGGAGTGCAAGCAGGTGATCCTGGAGCTCCCTGAGCAGTCCGAAAAGCAGAAGGATGCCGTGGTCCGGCTCATCCACCTGCGGCTGAAGCTCCAAGAGCTGAAGGTGGTGCCATGCTGTCCCTTCCCAGGAGCCCGCTTTTTGTGGGCTCTGAGTGGGAGGTGGGGGGTGGAGATGGCCCTCACTCCATATTTCTTTCTCAATGACTCCAGAACCTCCTGTCTGCAGATGACAGAAACCCAGTCATGCATTAGCATAAATGAAAAAAAAAAAAAGGGTGTTGTGACTTAGCAATGAGAAGCTCTGTCGACGGCTTCCAGGCTGGCCTTTTCTCAGATGGTCTGCTCCTAGGCATGCCAGAAATACTCCAGGGCTCTGGCCATCAGCCTATCTGCCCCACAGGACCCATACACATGGAAGCTTTCATGCTCACACTTCCAAGTCTCAGGCCTGACTTTCATTGGCCAATCCTGTGTCATGTGCTAGCTCTAGACTAATCCTGGTGACTGATTGGCCAGACCTGGGTCATATACCATCTGCTGGAGTAACAAGGATGGGGCACTCTCACTTCAACACCTGAAGCAGAAAGGGGGTGGTAGGTCCTGAAGCGCATGTGCTCAGGCTGGGTTACTGCATCCCCTGCACTGGATGCAACCCTGGGGACTCAGAGGTGGGTGACTCATTCAGAAACAGACAAATCAGTGCTAACAAAGACATCCCATTGGGCAGTGGCTTCACATTTCCCTCATGTGCAAATGCAGTTGGTGACCTAGGCCACCTGACAAGTCACAGTGTGGGGACCCTGGGTCCTCCTGTCCTGTCCCTCAGCCTGTCCCTGGAGGAATCTGTGGGGTTAAAGGGAAGAGGGAACCCCACAAAACATCACAGGTCCGGTAGGCGCAATTGTACAGCGATAATAAGTAGAGATTATAGTAAAGTCATAGAGAGCATGAGAGTTAAAGGATGGAGTCAAGTAATGGAGTCAGACGCAATTCATGGTAGCATTGCTCACCTCTGCTAGGCTTGATGGTCCTCGTGGAGGGGGCTTAGCCGTCAGAGAAGAAGCCGCTGCTTCGTCCTCCTTAGCCACCTTCTCCAGCCACCCTTCTGAGAACCAGGGAGCCTCCTTATTTATTGCTAACCACGCATCATATTACTTTAGGGGGATACATCACAGCATTATGCGTCACAGAGAAGGGCAGTACAATTCATCCTTGAACAGGTTTGATCATTCTGGTGTCTCATACAATAAAGCAGGCAATTACTATCCTGGGAGGCATGCAAGCCCCCTGATAGCAGATAACAACCTACGTCATAGAGAGGGGTTGTAACATAGGCAATACAAGCAATAGGAGGGGGATGACCTAGGGGTGAACGCGAAATAGTAAGAGGAGGGAATAGGGGGTCATGTGTGGCAAGATAGTAACCTAAGCTTAGTCATCTTAGAGTGGTCCCGGGCTTGCCTATGGGCACTGCTTTGAGGGAACAATAACAGAAAGGAATGGGCCCTATTTGTGAGATGAACAGTGGTGTCTGCTTGATCTAGACAGCTGATACCTCGCAGTGACAGTGACTCCCAATCCATTCTTGATGGTTGATGTTAGGGAGAATAACCTCTGACCTACTTTCGCTGCCTAGTGAACAATTATTCTCAAGCTAAGTCTGGCATATATTTTGGGGAGACAACTTAAGAGAAATCCCTCTGTTCCTCACAGGAATCCATGATGCCCCCACTGTACCCCTTCTGGCAGGGGCAAGGCAGGAGAGTACAGTCCCCTTAGCATGTGTCCTTGGCCCCAGTGCAGTTCCATAGCAGCACTTCATAGCAAGGGATGCTGGGAGGGCATTCTGTACTCTCGGTGGCTGTACTGGCCAAGTATTGGGTTTTCTAGTGACAAAGGAGAGGATATATGTGACCCTGGGGACAGCCAGTAGACAGTTTACTATAAATGGGAGCCAGGGTCACCCCCTTCCTCTGTTCCCCTGCAGGACCCCAATGAGGATGAGCCCAACATCCGAGTCCTGTTAGAGCACCGTTTTTACAAGGAGAAGAGCAAGAGCGTCAAGCAGACCTGCGACAAGTGTAACACCATCATCTGGGGCCTCATCCAGACCTGGTACACCTGCACAGGTAAGCTGGTGACCCAGACCTGGTACACCTGCACAGGTGAGCTGGTGACCCAGACCTGGTACACCTGCACAGGTGAGCTGGTGACCCAGACCTGGTAC